ACCTTTGTCCACGGCGTTGAAAAGTGGTGGACCTTAGTCCACGGCGTTCAACGATGGACCTTAGTACACCCCGTTAAAGGGGTAATGAACCTTATAATCCGTGGTGTTAAAGGGTTGTGGGCCTTAGTTCACGGCGTTGAAGGGTGGTGGGCCTTAGTCCACGGCGTTAAAAGGTGGTAGACCTTAGTCCACTGCCTTGAAGGGTTATGGACCTAAGTTCGTTGCGTGGAAAGGTGATGGGCCTTAGTCCACGGCGTTCAAGTGTGGTGGACCTTTGTCCACAGCATTTAAAGGTGCTGGACCTTAGTCTACTGCGGTGAAGGGTGATAAACCTTAGTTCACTGCCTTGATGGGTTATGGACCTAAGCCCGCGGCGTTTAAAGGTGGTGGACCTTAGTCCACGGCGTTGAAGGGTGGTGGACTTGTAAACAGCGTTGAAAGGTGAACCTTTGTGTACTGCGTTGAAGTGTGGTGGACCTTAGCCCACGGCGTTGAAGGAATGTCGACCTTGTCCACGGCGTTAAGCGATGGGGGACATTTGTTCACGGCGTTGAAGGGTGGTGGACCTTTGTTCACGGTGTTAAAAAGTGTCCCTCACCCAGAACACCTTCAAGAGTGGACCTCACCCAGAGTGCCTTCAAGAATGGACTTAGCCATAGCGCCTTCAAAAGTGGACCTCACCAAGAGCGCCTTCAAGAATGGATCCTGTCCAGAGCGCTTTCAAGAGTGGACCCAGTCCAGAGCGCCTTCAAGAATGGATCCCATCCAGAGCGCCTTCGAGGGTGTGGACGCCGTCCAGAGCTGCCTTCGAGGATGGACCCTACCTATAGCATCCAGCTGAGCTACTGGAGGCTGTGGACTAGGTTCACAAACAATATATTGGACTGTCTGCAATATTATTGGACTGTGTCCATTAATATTGCAATGTGTCCTGTATATACTTATATTCCTTCCCATAGTACACATTTCATAGTTTTTCGTTGTACCGATTTTGTGTAAACATCATTATTGGTAATTTCCACATTCTGACGTTTACGCAATGTTGGTCGAGTGTAAGTTATGTAATGTTTGCTAGGGTTACCTTATTCTTTTCTGTCCCTCCCTCCCTTCTCTCACTCGCGCCGCTCCTTGTGGGTTGGCTGGCAGCATATCACCATCAGCCTGATGCCCTGGCAGTTGGTGAGCGATTTCTGGTGGTAACCTAGCTACCACCGGTAATCAACCGAAGTACCCCTTGGTGCGTGGTTTGGGGTTCCACGTAACAAAGGTTCTCTATGAGAACCTTTGGACGAGTCACCCCGGTCCGGCTCGAAGATCACAGACCTCAACGTGGTGGGCTGGTGTAACTTGGAGCAGCATTGTATCTCTAAGTCGGTAGAAATAAATTCTACTAATTTTGTATATATTGAACATAATTAGGCTTGGTTACGAGATAAATGCTGCTTCAAGGCTAACATGTGATCTCTGCTCTTAGAACGCTGTAGTATCCTTGTGGGTTTAGCGCTTAATTTTGATTATAATAATGCTCTGAGGTACATTTTAATGAAATTTCAAGATAAAATGTCTTAATGACCAATTAAACTGATGGCTTGAAATATAATTAAATGGAGAGGAGGCATCTGAATATTGCTTTTTAACCTAGCAGGCTGAACCTTGCTCTTAACCTAGCAGGCTGAACCTTCCTCTTAACCTAGCAGGGTGAAACTTAAGTTTTATTCATACCTAGCAGGTCCCCTCGAGGGAACCTTGATGCTGGTGACTGGCTCATGTTCTAGGTACTTGGATCTACACTCCAGTTCCCCTTCCCTCAGGCGTTCTATAATCCCTGTGGGCTTAGCGCTACCCCATATACCTAGCAGACTGGAACTTGCTCTTATTACCTAGTTGAAACTTGCTCACTTGAACGTCGGGGGCTATATAGTGTGTCTAGGTTTAGCGTTTCCCCTGATTAAAAGTTTTTTAACTGATTATGCTTACTGAACTCATCAAGGGAGGTAGGTGCCTGGATGCTGGTGAGGGTTCTTCATCCAAGGAAACTGGACTTCCTATTCGATTTAACCTGAGGACCTCCCAGGTGCTGTATGACCCCTACAGGTTTTGCACCACTGTGAATGAAATTCCCAGAGCTGCAACTCTAGCTCGAGGGATCTTATATTTTTGTCCAGGTTTCCACGCAATTACTGGGGTGTCGAAGAGTGAAAGAAGGATGGCGACTGTTTTGGGAAAACTTTGGATGACTGTAAAACATTTACAGTCACGATAATACTGGAAGAAAGCATACAAGAGAAAGAGGAACCAAAAAATAGATAAACATTATTATTTGAGAGGAAAAAGTTTGAGGATACCATCTAACAAACATTTGAATACACAAACACATGATGTGTGCATGTTGAGCTCTTTATGACCAGTCCATATTTTTCCCAGGCTGAGCCACAGTGGCTCCTCAAGGGAGGTTCCTCGACGCTGGTGAGGGGCTCTTGATCTAGGGAATTGGATCTGTGCTCCAGTTCCCTGAATTAAGCCTGAATGCCTTCCATCCCCCCATAGGCGCTGTATAATCCTACGGGTTTAGTGCTTCCCCCTTGATTATAATAATAATAATCAGCTCTCCCCCATGATTATAATTGAGCCACAATCGACTAACAGCTAGGTATGTACTTTGCGGACAGATACGAGGAGACGACTCCAGTCCGGAGATCGTACCCACGACGTAGGTACGATATTAGGCCATAGTCACGCTACCGTGGATGTCGAGTTGAGGCAGGCAGTTGCATTATTGATGAGTCATTGTGGCATGCTGTGTTGGTCAACATAAAAAGTCATTGATATGCTAGAATACATTTTTTGAAGTATTTAGACAGGTACAGAACTTATTAAGACCCTTCTGGGGAGGTTCCTTGACGCTAGTGAGGGGCTCTTGATCTAGGGAATTGCATCTGGTTCAGTTCCCTGAATTGAGCCTGAATACCTTCCATTCCACCCCCCAACAGGCGCTGTATAATCCCTACGGGTTTGGCGCTCACCCATGGTCACAATTCGCTCAAAATGAGAGAAATCTTTGCTCCCAGAGCGTATGTCAGCGTCACCTACAGGTAGAAGGGAAATTTCAATTGTCTTTTCTTTGTTTACAAAATTCTGATCCAGGAGGGTAAGGATCACCTACTGTCTCAACCTGGGTCACTTCACCTACTGTTTCAACCTGGGTCACTTTACCTGCCGTTTCAACCTGGGTCACTTCACCTACTGTCTAAGCCTGGGTCACTTCACCTACTGTCTCAGCCTGGGTCACTTCACCTACTGTCTCAGCCTGGGTCACTTCAACTGTCTCAACCTGGGTTACTTCACCTGTCTCAACTTGGGTCACTTCACCTACTGTCTCAACCTGGATCACTTCACCTGTCTCAACCTGGGTCACTTCACCTGTCTCAACCTGGGTCACTTATCAACCTTCACTTCACTGTCTCAACCTGGGTCACTTCACCTGTCTCAACCTGGGTCACTTCACCTGTCTCAACCTGGGTCACTTCACCTGTCTCAACCTGGGTCACTTCACCTGTCTCAACCTGGGTCATTCCAACTGTCTCAACCTGGGTTACTTCACCTGTCTCACCCCTCAAGGAAGGTTCCTTGATGTTGGTGAGGGGCTCTTGATTTAGGGAATTGGATCTGTGCTCCAGTTCCCCGAATTAAGCCTGAATGCCTTCCACATCCCCCCCCCAGGCGCTGTATAATCCTCCGGGTTTAGCGCTTCCCCCTTGATTATAATAATAATAATAATTCACCTGTCTCAACTTGGGTCACTTCACCTACTGTCTCAACCTGGATCACTTCACCTGTCTCAACCTGGGTCACTTCACCTGTCTCAACCTGGGTCACTTCACCTACTGTCCTTCACCAGGGTGTGGATCAGTGAAAGGGTAAAGTTTACAGTACTCCAAAATTATCTGTTAATCAAGTTCTTCGAATTTTTAATTTTGGTCTTGACCATGCTAATTTTTATGATATTGGCCTTACCCTAGTGTAGGGTGACCCCAAAATAAGAAACACAATCACAACACGTTCACAACCACGAGTGACTTACTCAACCCTTCTAGGACTGCAACAGCCAGTGTGTGGGTTTACCTGTTTATACTTATATGTTGTTGCAGGGGTCAATTCACAGCTCCTGGTCCTGCCTCTCCGCTGTGTGTGAGTACGTGCGTGCGCTCGTGGTCTGCAAGGTTCACACGGCTCCTGGGAGGCAATCAGGTTCGATCCAAAGAACGAGAGAACTGCTCCAGCTTCTCGAATCAAAAGCCCTTCGCCATCATCAAGGCACCCCCACCCCCTTGAAGAAAAACACACTAAATATTCCATAAACATAATGCATATTTTACTAGGCCTCAAATTTGTTTTTTTTTAACCGTAATGAATAAACATTGTTAATGAGTAAATTTTTTTTTCTGAAAACGCTTAAAGACTCCCCCCCCCCCTAAAAAAAAAAAAAGAATGCATAAAATCCTAAAAAAGTGAAGATATTGCGAAAACATTTTTAATTTAATAAGAAATATTGCAATTTTGGGACAAAACCTTATAGCCCTTGTGGCTTAGCGCTTCTTTTTTATTATAATAATAGTAATATGGGACAAAACCTGCAGATGTTTTGGTTGCCATGGATACAACAAACAGCTGAGTCGATAGTTAAGTTAGAGACAGAAAACAACGTAAACCTTCATCATAACGTTTCGCTCAAAGAAGTTTCGTTATAGGACTTATTTTTCATTCGTCTTTCTCGCCGGTGAAATTGTGGCTAATATACGTATGTAGAAGCGCTAAACCCGTAGGGAAATAGGACATCAGGAATGATCAGTGGAAGCAGAGGGCAGCTCAACTTTCTCGGATCAAGAGCTGTTCAGCATTGAGGCACCTTCCTGGAAATTAAATTTATATATGGTAAATTATAATTTATTTTTTCCTTAAATTAGTAATTTTGACAAAAAAAGCTTCAGATTTTATTTTTTTTTATTTAATGAAACAATAATATTTGTTAGTATTATGAGTTGAGTTTTTTGTCTTGTAGTTGATGTTAATTTGTTTATAAGATGATTTTTTTTTTTATGTTTTATATCGGATGGTAAATGATATGGTGGCCAGGCTGTACTTGGTTAATGGTCGCCAGACCTGGTTAATGGTCCCTAGACCTTGCTTATGGTCGTCAGGCCTGGTAAATGGTCGCCAGACTTGGCAAATGGTCGTTAGACCTGGCTAATGATGATTGCTAGTCCTAGCTTCTTAAGACGACCAGCTGATGTGGATCCTGAGTATTCGAGTTCGATGTCGCGTTTCTTGCTTTCCGTGTTCGTCTTCGAGATGTGATATGATCATTTATTTCTATGTTTAAGTTCCACTTTGGTAAGACGACACAGATTACCGCTCTTTTGCGAAGGACGCCAGCCAAACCCAGAAGCTCTTTGGCGTCCAACGCTAACCAATCCCAGATGCTCTTTGGCGTCCAACGCTAACCAATCCCAGATGCTCTTTGGCGCGGGGTGTCAGCCAATAGCAGACGTTCACCCGCACTATTCAGGAACACTGTCGCTGTATAGCCCATGTAGCTTAGCGCTTCTTTTTGATTATAATAATAATCGGAAACACTGTCCTGGTTTGGAAATTTCCTTATCACTTTAGAGGGGAAAAATAATTTAAGAATACATAATTTATGTTCATTCTCGTGTTACTCAAGGAGCAAAAAAAAAAAATAAGGGAATTTTCATCCTATTTTTTCCACCTTATTTAATTTTAGGTTTTCTTCTGTTTTCAAATATTTTTTTTTCCATGAAAAAACACTATACTACATAATTATTGCTTTTTACTAAGTACAAAATGTCCGCACTTCTCACTATTCACTCTCCAGGTTCGAAGAGACTACACGCACACATATATACACACAAACACACTGGCATTCACACAAACATACACACTCGAACATATACATATATATGTACATATACTTTCATATTTATCTAATGTTCCTCTTTATCTTAGAAAATATAAATGCTCACTTTTTTGGGGAGGACCATTTCTTCGACAGTCACAAATATACCTGAACTCTGAAGTCGAGCTCCCTACCAGTCTTCATCTATGCAGAAGCAACGCTCGCTTCACCAGGTGGAAGGCAACGTGTTCTGCAGTGACACTAAATGGATGTCGTATTCTCTGCAGCGACACCAAGTGGGAGGCTATGTTCTGCAATTATACTTAGTGGGATACTCTATGTTCTTCGGTAACACTAGGTGGTAGGCTGCAAGTTCGGCGTTGAATACATAAAAAAAAGTGCTGTATAAGATCATTCGTGGTCTTTTATATACTTTATGCGTGTGTTTTCTTAATTCTCTTTCAACCTACTCAATGAGATAGAAAATGACACTGTTTTTAGTTTTATTTGTTTTGGCACCGTGAGAAAGATAAGGTGCCTATCTCAGCTCTCATCTGGCACTGAGTTGTTTTTCTCGTATGGCACTTTAAAGAAAGACAATACCAGTCTCATCTCTTGGTTTGGCACTGTGAAGAAGATACGTCTCAGCTACTGTTCGATACTTCAAGACAGTATGGATCTCGTTTCTCGTTTGCACTATGCGCTATCAACACAACTTGTCTCGCACTTCGTCGATGTCTCGCGCATTAGGAACTGCCAGTGTTGTGTGTGTGTGTGTGTGTGTGTGTGTATGTGTGTTTTAGAGAGCAACTTGAAGACGTCCCTGCTCCTGGCTACACGTCCCATCCTCCATCACCACGTACGCAAAGTCTGCTGATTGAAGGTTTGGGACTGTGGGTAGGCCGTTGTTTGGCCAGTGTATGGGCATTGGTAAGCCGGAGGAGAGTACTGTGGGGGGTTGTATGCGGGAGGGTAGGCTGGTGGGTAGCCTGCAGGACATGGCTTGCCGTCACGTACCAGAACCTGCAAAGATTAATAAACTGATGTACGACTATATAAATAATTTATATGCCATAATAAATAATGATACTGAAGAATAAAAGTCAAACTACCAAGGCTAAGAACAATTTACATTTAACACAAAGTCTCCAGATGTCTGAAGAACATTCGGTCCGTCTTAGACACTTATCAAAACATTATCAGTTCTTGACAAAGTCCAGAGTGGACCGAAAAGTCGTCATTTTTTTTATTCTCCCATTTGAGCTGAGGTGTAAGTGTTGGTAAGAATGTTGGGTTTGACAAGGACTTTCAAGTATGGGCCAGTAGGCTTGCTGCAGTGTTCCCCCTTTCTTATGTACTTATATATTACTCATGAACACAGGCAAATCATAGTTAAAAAACAAAAAGGCACTACTTCCTTTTCTTTCTCTCTTATTCCCGTCCTGTTCCTCTCGCCGGTATATATACTGGCTCCCTCACACTTTTCTTCAAGAGTGCAACTGGCAGGTGTAGTAGTAGCAGCAGCAACATACACAGCAAGAGGCATTCTTGAGTTTCCCCAGCGCTCGGGCTTAATGCCCAAAGCTGGGGTGTGACTCCAAAAGGATCCTGTAGTGCTTGCTGCCTTTGCACCTCCTGCTGCTATGCAGCTGCCACACCCTTCCAACCCAGTGTGGGCGGGTTTGTGGCAGCCCAAGGTGTCTAGCTTCTTCCTCCAAGCCCCTTGGTGGCTGGGAATGGGCTAGGCCTGGGGACAGCTGGTCCCAGAAGAAGAGGAGGTACTTGTACCTCTTCCCATGGCAGACATTGGTCTGAGACACTTTCTCGACAGGGAGCCAAGGCCGGGCCACCTCTCGGAAAAGGCCCGGCGAATCTACGACAGAACAGAAACACTTTTCTGTTAGTATGGCTTTTGTAAATGATCCAAGTCGGACCGAAACATTGTCGTAAGCTCCCCTCTTTTATTTGCGAGTTATTTGTGTATAAATCATAGTTTATAACAGTATTTCTAGGGAAGTTGAAAGTAAGAACAGCTCAGAGTAAACACCATTATCACCCCGAAGAAAAATCACAAAAAATATTTGAGAAAAACAGCTGAGAAGCTTTACTAAATGACGTATCCTCACCATTTAAAGCAAATAAAAAAACTGGGATTTCCTTCCATGGACTGTGCCAAGGAAACAGGAGTCACCTTAGCACATTCTACAGAATCCCCTTTACGATGTGCTGATAAAGGTGTGCAAGACACAGGAGTGAGTGTGTGTGAGAGAGAGAGGTAACATATGCTTCAAGAAAGAGAACGACAGAACAAATCTTTAGCTTAGATACTAACAATTAGCAGTGGGTAGCGGCCACTGCCTACAGAACTGAGGGATGGAACACGAACTTATGAGAGGATTGAGACAGATTCACTTACGCTTGTTGCGTTACTAAATAGCCTGACTGAAGTACCACAATGGGAGAGGTGCACAGCATTTCCATCACTTCTCATAATAGTGCGACTTATGTCAAAGCTTTTCAAGGAAGAGAATTTTGTCTAAACAAGGAGTGATAAGAATTCCTATCAGGGTTAGCCGGGTGTGGACCTACCACCCGAGTCCAAACTATCTCATGTTTGAGCCTATATTACGCTTTGTTTACATAATATGTTGCATTCACGAAAGATGTTAACCTCTGAGCGCAAGAGAATAACCGCTACCAACACTCACAGGAACTGCCACTCTGCGAGGGGAGGTGACGGAGGCCATGGAGGCGGCGGCGGCGGCAGCGGCGGTGGTCATTTCCAGGTTCTTGTCCTGTCTCTGGCGCTTGCACTTGTAGCGGCGGTTCTGGAACCAGATCTTTACTTGGGTGGAGGTGAGTTTGAGCAGGCTGGCTAGGTGTTCCCTCTCCGGTGCTGAGAGATATCGCTGCTGCTTGAACCGCCTCTCTAACTCGTATACCTGAGCCTGAGGAAAAAAGAGGAGGAAAATATATGCATAAGCCATTTATTAACGGTTCCTGGGGTCATTGCCCCTGCCTCCCGGTCTCAGACCTGGCCACCTAAAAGATTTACACACACGAAAGTAAAGTGTAAAGAGAATGCAAGCAGAGGTCTGCAAGATTTACCTGCCGTCTTACATGTCCACGAGACTTATTAAAAAAAGACTAGCAAACTTGTAAGAGTGAAAAACATTTTTCAAAATCGTGTTTCACATGACAGGGCGGTGTAACCTCCCTGTGGGAATGATATCTGCAAACCTATTACCTAGCTGTCTATGTTATACACATTGGCTAGAATCTCAGCAAGTTCGAACCCTGGCACTCAGACCACAGAGTCCAGCACACGCAAGGCAGTAGTAGCCCTGACGTGGTCTGACACACAGCTGCCACTTCAGGGGGTGTGCGGGGGAGGAGGGTGAGGAAGATTAGCAGGAGACTGAGCTGCCACTTGAATGTTGAGGGTCGTGCAAGTTCTCGAAACACTGTAGAACATCGTAATATATCTCAGGTGGGTCGGCCGCACCATAAACACCACGCCCACCTTCTCACGCCCATCCTTCCACCTTTGATGTCAGCTACTCCCACTTCCTCACCCTCCATACCATTGACGTCAGCCATCCCCACCTCCTCACCCCCACCATTGATGTCAGCCACTCCCACTTTCCTTCGCCTGGCTATGGCTTGTCACACGACGATCATTGTCAAGGTTAGTGAGTCTTAAAACTATGCACTATAACTATTGGATACAGTGCCAGTATAGGTGCCAAAGAGAGCGTGCCAGTAAGGGTGCTAGGCTGCTAATAAGGGTGCCAGGGACACTGCTAATGAGGGTGCCAAGGAGAATGCTATTAAGGATGCCAGGGACACTGCTAATAAGGGTGCCAGGGACACTGCTAATAAGGGTGCCAGGGACACTGCTATTAAGAGTGCCAGGGACACTGCTATTAAGAGTGCAAAGGAAAATGCTAATAAGGGTGCCAAGGAAAATGCTAATAAGGGTGCCAAGGAGAATGCTAATAAGGGTGCCAAGAGAGTGCTAATGAGGGTGCCAGAAGCACTATGAATAAAGGTGACGAGGAAAGTGCTAAAGAGTGTGCCAGTAAG